GAGATAGATCAAAATAATGTACTACAATATTGTACATCTTAAAAGGGTCTACAAAAAAGTCTGCGATGGTATATGTCTATCTCTTAGGGATAACCCACAATAACCATTTTTATCCTTTACTTTTTATGAGAAATAATGACTTATTTACGAAGCGATTGTAAGCACTACAGCAATTATTCTTATCCAATTAAGTACCTTAAATACATTGTGCATTTAATATAGATGAATATGGCCCTTTACAGCATGTAATGTAAATGAATATTTTCGAAGATATTACAGATTTAAAATGCAGGAACATAGCGGTTGCGGCGGTACTGGCCGGGAGGCCGATTTGTATTGTCTAATGACAAAAAAACTGTGAATGTTGTATATAAAGACATTCTGTAGTATATTTAGTATGTTCAGGGGTATCTTTTGATAATTTCCCCTTTTCGATAATAATCTAAACAAAACACCCGTGCGAAGCTGGGGCGGGTCACTAGTAGGTAATAAAGCAGATAGGGGACTTTACCAATTTTATTCGAAAAATACTGATTTTTACGAAGCGGCGGTTGGCATATATTAGTTGTATACTTTCTGAGATTCCCTATACTATACCAAAAGGTCCGCTCTTTCGCATACGGTATACTATGAATGCCTTAAAAGGAATCACATTCAGTCTGGGTTAGATTAGATAATTTGAGATAGGCACCATTTAATATATGAAAATTTTCCTGTTGTTCTCCCTTATAGGTTTTGGCAGATATGGGAACCTATTTGCATAAAGCGATTCCAGACACCAGACTGACGGTAAAAAAATATGCCGATGCAAAGTTTGAGTATCTTGCATACTGTTTAAAAGTTAAAGAAATGGACGACGAAGAGTGCAGTTATGCTGCGCTACAGGAGCCTTTATATCGTGTAGAAACCGGAAACTATGAATACAGGTTATACAATATTTTTATTCACCAAAAATTATAAATAGTAATAAATAAAACTGTGAAAATAACGATTAGGAACAAAAATTTTCTCTTTTTTTTTAGATTAATTCTACGTTGTCGACAAGTAGCCCGAACGAGATTTGCTAAATTACGTTCGGATGTTTTGGTAAAAATGGAACTCCTGGAAAATAAGCACGTTCAATCGTTGGGCGGACATCTAACAAAGCTAATCGAAGCTTTCGCTGAACTACATAAGAAAACGTTGGAACTTCTGTCAGGCCCAGCACTATTTCCTGTTGAAGTCGATTTGTCCAACAGTGCTTTCCAATACAAATCGACAACACCAATCACTACAGTAAGTAATACATGTATATACAACCAACTGTACAACCAAATATGGACCCGTCCACTACTTTCCAATTGCTGTTTCTACTTCGAATACCTTAAAATTGATGGTTTTTAATGCAAGATTCTGATTAAGATCCGTCTTAATAGTCACCTTTTATCGCAGCCGTTATGATTCCAAGACAAAAATGGGCTCAGTAATTATAAGTAAAACTATTATTGTTTACTACAAGGTACACACCTTGTGCAGCATACGCTTCCCCAGATAAAAATGTTCAGTCTCTTAGAGTCTCTGAATGCGAGACTTGAGTCTCCGTCTCTCATCAAATCTCTCTGGTGTTGCTGAGAGAGACTGTTAAAAAAACTGTTTAGCGTCTCTGAACGACAGACTCTAGTCGCTCATAAAGAGATCCTCATTTCGTATCCAGTTTCTGAACGAGAGACTCGAATCTCTGAACGAGAGACTCGAATCTCTGAACGAGAGACTCGAATCTCTGAATTAACAATTTTATTGTTCGAGTCTCTCATACAGAAACTGTGAGGGATCCATAAAAACACCTAGGTAATAACTGAGAGACTGTGAGAGACGCTCTCAGAGACGCTGAAAGACTCTGAGAGACTGGAGAGAGACTAAAGATTTTTGTCTAGAGTTAATACGCTTAATTTGTGCTTCACTTTCATAACTGTTCACATGTTCTTTAATTCGTTCTATAAACGTTCCAGCCGTTTGACCACTGTACACTTAAATGTTTACCTTTTCGGTCACAATAACGGTATCATGTTCTAGCAAGAAAATGATGACGATGATGAACACGATATTGAAAATGGAGAAGAAGTTCGAGAAATTTCGACAAGGACGTCTATCAATGAAGTCCTCAAGTCCTCCATTTTGTCTGAAGACTTACCTCTGGAATCCGATTCTAGCCTCTTGATTCCTGGTTTAGGAATTAATCAGACCGAGGAGCCCGATTATAACAATATGGATACATTAACACTACTCTCGTCTTTAAACATAAACGGAGTCCCAAAAAATGACGAAGATGAGAAACTGTTAGACCTATCCTCTGAACGTTAAACAAAAAATTTAAGAATACGAAAATATTTATGGAATAAATTTACATACATATGAAGTCTGTTTTAATTTATTTTAAAATAAAAGAATATAAGTATGTGAGTAAGTAATAGAAATAAAACCGATGTTCACCACGTGTGCTGAGGGTTCTTTATGCGGTCCTAAAAACATTGTCAAGCCCAAGAATCTTAAATTTGATACAACTTATATATGGCTGATTTTAGGTATCTAGAAAGTCAGGTAAGTCAGGACGGAAGGATTAGTAGGGATATAAAGCAGAGGTTAGCACACGGTCGAGTCGCCTTCAATAAAAACAAGTCACTTCTATGTTCGCGAACGGTTAATTTAGAAATTCGAAAAAGATTGTTAAAGGTGTATGTTTGGAGCGCGGTGCTGTACGGGTGCGAAACATGTACAGTGGGCGCGGCGGAAAAGAAAAGGTTAAAAGCGTTCGAAACGTGGTGTTACCGGCGAATGATGAGGATACTGTGGATAGAGAAGGTTAGAAATGATGAGGTATTAGAAAGAAAAAGAGGACTATGCGGAAGTCACCTAAAAAAAAGGCGAGATAGGGTGGTAGGACACCTTCTCAGGCATGAAGTTCTAGTCAGAGACATATTAGATACAAAAACAGGAGTTAAGAGGAGTAGAGGTAGACCTAGATTAGATTACTGTTCGCAAATAGTTAAGGATGTGGGATGCTCTAGTTTTAGAAGCGAGCGGTATGGCTTAGAGGTCTAGACCATTGCTTAGCATTCGGGAGGACGCCGGTTCGATGCCGGGTCCGTCTGCCTTGGTCCAAGTTTTTCTGTGGTTTCTTTGGATCCCTTAGGGGCAGTAATATTCCACAGATAATCTTTCATTCTCTTCTGTCTTCATTTCGTCCGTCTCATCTTTCTCCCCCGAACCACCACCCACCCATTCCCACGATTCCTGAAAGCAGGCTGAAGAGGACCTTCCGCCCTACCTTCCGGCATAGTCCGGAGGGACTGCCCGCCCACCAGCATTTATAGCTGGTGGGAATGAAACACCCAAAAGTTTTAAGTGATTTTCCTAGTTTTAGGGAAATGCGAAGAGTAGCTCAGAATAGGATACGTGTCTAACCAGTCTTAATACTGACGACCTTGTTTTTTTTTGTTTACATTATTCTCAAGGAGAGGAAATCTTTAAAAGACACCTCCTGAAGGAAGGTAATATCGGATTTCTACCTACTAAAACTCCTCCTCGAGTGGAGAGATATACCCGAAGGTTGTACATCCCTGGAAAAGAAATAGAAAGGTTAGAGTGAGAAGAGGATTAAGTTGAGAAAAAAGTTGAGTGCGGGGGGAAAAGGGAGTATTTTGGGAAGAAAACCATTTTAGCTCTGATTCGTATAATTGAAAGTACATTTTATTTTTTTCACCAGCTTGTGAACAAAGTTCAATATTTTCTTAATGGGGAAATTCTTTTCAACTTAAGAAACTAGTACCCTAGTAGATATATATATCTATATACTAAAAAAAAAATAAATGTTCACAATTTTACTCTTATCTAATAAACTGCTTTCTAATAATTTGCGTTAAATCCCACATTGAGGTAAAAACAATTTCATCATTTATTTACAGACTGAAACCATCTGTTTCTATTCCAATCTAAATAAACATTGTTTTCTTCTGCTCGAGTTCGTTGGTTACTCTTTATACATATTAGAATGGTTCAACTGAGATAAGGAGAACGAGGCAAAAAACAGGTATCATTGTGAAGGTTAACCCTTCAGTGAATTTACGACTGATGTAATAAGTATTTATCTAGTTTAACACGATTTAGTCATGGTATTTCGTTAGTTGCTGTAATAACGTAGCGCGATCGTGTGGTTTTTATTATTGTTTGTAATTACTCGTATTTTACAGTGATTTTTCGTGTTAGACAATAAATAAATAAATGTGAAGTGTAGTGTGTGTGTGACTTTAAAGTGCACGGAACTGTCATAAATCAAGGAAATTATCAAAGTTTCAAAACAAATTTAAGGTATTGTAGCTACTTTGATACAATAATTTTTGATGTATTTTTATCATTTACATATTTGTAGAGGTTAGTTTTATTAAAGTATCTACTTATGTAAAGCAAACGCCTTGGTTACTTTTGAAGAAATATTTTTTGAGAGCAAGTTTTAATATTTCCTAGATCAAAACAGCAAGAAATGGACTCATAGTGTAGCTTTTTAAATAGACCAAAGCTTCCTCTATGTACAATATTATACGTAACTTTGTTTCTTCGCATTTATTCTGCAATAGGTAAACACTAATAGCGAAAATAATGAAATAACATAATAAAAAGGTATAAAAGGCAATTCATCCTGTCAATTCATACATAAAAAATTAAGCAATCCTAGATTCTCATAGATTCTTATATTGTTTAATATTCGATAAGCATCTAATTACAATTAACGAAATAAACATACCACAACACTATACAATATCTGTTCAAAAAGTATCGCTAAGTTTAAGTTTTTTCAAAAATTATTTATTTATTCATGAATATTTATTTTGTCTCCTTGAAAGTAATCCCCACTAGATATTATACACTTGTGCCAATGTATTTTCCAATCCTCGAAGCACTTCAAAAAATCGGTTGTCTGTAAAGTCGGTTTACTGACGATAGTTGAACGTGACAACGTCATAAGAAAATAGTGATGGAATGGTTTCATTTTTCAAAAGAAAATTTTAATTTTATTTGTTTGATAGATATTTTGTATGGATAAAGAGAAGGAGGTAAATGGAAATGTATTATTGTATAGCAGCTGTGCACGCGGACGCATCGCTCACTCAAGTAGGAGAGAGACAGATGTCGAACGCTGCCGAACGCGGAGGCCGATTGTGCCTCTTTGTCGCTCGTTCCGCGCTCTCGCTTGCACTTCAAGCCTTAAATGGAATGCCTCAGAGCGAGGTAACGCCGCATGAGTCATGTTTTTTCGTGCTCTATCGAATTATAAGACGTTGTCACGTCAAAAATCATTTTTTGTGATCTTATTCAGCTCCTCCTTCGATACTGTCTTTATCGCCTGAATCATGGCGTAGCATCGTCCTTTCATGAGTCTTTTCAGTTTCGAGAACAAGAAAAAGTCAAAAGGAGCCAAATCTCGGGAATACGGTGGGTGCTGCATTATTAGTGTGTTGTTTTTGGTCAAAAATTCGTGCACAAGCAACGATGTGTGAGCGGCGGAGTTATTATGGTCCAAAAGCCAATGTTTGTTTTTGTTTTACTTAACTAGTTATAATTTTAGTGATCAATTCTTCGCGTTTTATAAATTAATTTAATTTATTAATTTTAAAATGTTTCTAATTGATATTTCTTTTTCCAGGTACTGTTTTTGCCATCATGTACGTAAGTGATCCTACTTTTTTTTTTTAATAACAAGCGAATGTAGTAATAAGTAGATGATTCTTGAACGTTCAAGAAAGGCTATTACAATCGAGTAAGAAATAGTGGAGTGTACTGTAATACAATAAGTAAAAACAAATAAAGGATCGTCCACACGGACGCGAAACTAGGGCGGTCTGAATTTTTCGTAACGCAACATTAGCAAGCGGCGTGTCAGCGAAATTTTGGTCTCGCACACATATGCGATTTTTTCCTGCCGCAAATGGTATTATGCAATAATAATTTAGATATCTGCATTTTCTTAGACGTTGCTTTTGGTACCTACTCATATCTTGTAATGAAACAACAAATTCTAAAACTATTTCATTATACGTATAATACAAAAAAGTTACATAAACATAATTTCAAATGTATTGGAAACTATAATTTCTTATTAGGTGCATATTTTTTATTAGGATTTTCCATAGTAGAGAGCGTACCATTAAAAATGAATACAGGTGTTCCGCAGGGTACTATCTTGGGCCCACTCTTGTTCCCGATATATACTGTCTGTTTTGTGCGTACATTTATTTTTTGTCACGCACAGTTCACACGCCAAGTTAACTTTGTGTGAATTTATTAAAATAACAAGAGTTAACTTAAAATTGTTTATTAATGCATATTTATAAGAACGATAGATTTAAGATGTTACAAGTTGTACGTGATTGAACAGGATCTGTCTTTCTTTTTCATTGTAGGTATAAACTTCTAAACAATTAATATATAAGGCTTGAAGTGGTAGGTATGTTCCGAGAAGAGTATATAATGTTGCTAACAAATGTAATAGACCCCAATTTGAAATTAGGAAACAGTAAAATTAACAATATTTAATTTAATATTTAATCAATAATTAATGTGAAAATTAATTTTCGATTTTCCATCCACTACGAACACCCCCGCCGGGAATCTGTAGCGGATGAAAAATCGAAAATAAATTTTCACATTAATAATACACGTTAACCACAATTAGTAATTAAAAATGTCATAGTAAAATTAACAGTAGGTAGATACATGCAATAAAGCTTCATTTATTAGGCTTATCGGCAAATTTTGCAAAATACGTGTATCTAAATATAATTTGGTCGAAATCCTATCCATCCTACGAAAGAATGGACTTACGTCATTGTAGGAGGACAAAAGTAAAAGTGTTAATTCATACACTCTTATACACGACAGTCGTATGTCGTTTATTATTAGTTCATTATGCTCTTCTACGTTTCTCTTTATTTTTGTCAGTCGATTTAAGAAAGGATAGTGTACAAGGATAGTGTAGATAAATATACTTCATTTACTTTCTCTAGCGATGTGCCCCTTCCAATGTCTTGGATGCGCGCTGGCAAAATCGTAGGTAGGGAGAAAAAAACTCATTATATTCTCGATTCTTGTTCATTAAACATACTTTTTCATACAGTACCTGCCAAAAATTTTATTCAATCATGAGTAGTGGTGCGAGTCGAAACCAAGCGTTAAAGCTATGTCTTCAAATATAAATAAACATTTCGTTGATATTTTCAGCAGTAAATAAATGGTACCAATAACAGCACATTTGAGCAATGCAATTGTAATGGATAAAATGGTCAATTTTTCCGTGCAGTACTGTACGGATTATACGCTCCTCAGCGGTTAAGAGTTGTCTCCTTCCTTTTCTGGCCTAGTGCTGTTCTTTTCTACTTTGCACCGGTCAAACTGAAGATCACATCGCTACAGAAAGTAAACGAAGTATACATATCATGTGTTTTTCTGTATCTCTGACAATGTGTGTACAAATTTCATGTTAGATGCGTTGATATCCGAAGTATTTGTCAAAGATTATCGACTACCGTGTAAAACTAATTTTTCTATTCCCCGGGAACAATACTTTTTCTAGATCAAAGGTACCCTACGTCCTTTTCTGTACCTCTAACAATGTATGTAGAAAACTTAATGATCCATTGGGTAGTTAATGCCTGAAAAGGTAATAAAGAAACAAACAAACAAAGCCTTATTCGCATTTATACAAATATTAATTTAGTTTTATAATAATAATACTTACAGCTTCTTGTTCTGTAAGATAAATGCTTCAATATGATATATGATAAATATTTGCTTCAATGCTTTCGATTATATGTTTGCTTTATTTCTTGAACGCAAGATAAAACCGAACAAAGGTTAGCGAGTGTGCGCTGGAATTATCCAATTATTTAATTACCAGAACTGATCGTTGCTCTGGCTCTGGCCAACTGCTGCTTTATATCGTATTTTGAAGTATTATCTCATAAATGTTACTATAAAATAATACAGATTGTGTATGTGCCAGTTGCTGCCACAAACCCAAAATGCGTGAAAGGATTTGTACCGTTTCCAAAGTGCTTATAGTTTTGTGCACTTTTAACTGTTGTTTAAGTGATGAATATACGCCGATTGTGTTATGGCATGGGATGGGTAAGTTAAGACTTTAAGTTAATTCACTTTAAAGTAGTACCAGAATGTTAACTTTATACTTAAAAAAAACAATCGAATAAATTCTCAATTAAACCGAATGATTAAGTAACTAACTTTCTAGCAAATCTGCTATAAATTATACATAATTTCTTGATCTATTATATATCACTAGGTATTTATATCACTATATGTATTACTTTTTTGCTTGCAATGTTTACTTTACCTGCCTTATTTCGACTATCTCCTACTATATACCAATCAGCAATTTATATGATTTATAGAATGTTCTCGACCTTTTCTGAAAGCTAATTAAGAATACCTCTGGAAGCTTCTCGTAGTTTCTTTTGTTTTGCATTCTTGTATGTGTCATTGACGTATGATTTACGACCAACACTCAGCACCGCCGCGTACAAATCGTCGCCTGCGGCGTTCGGACAGACACAAGGATAGTAATAAACCAGAAAAATTCAAATAATACGAATTAAAAAAAATTGAAATAAAGTGCCACCTAAATAGAATTGCCTTTGAGTTGGCTCCATCATTTGATTAGATGTTTCAATAGTCAGCTAATCCGGGAGTATTATATTTTCTACCCCAGTTATAATCATCTTTTTTATTCGCTGATTACTGTTACAACATTTAATAAATTTAGGTAAAATTTTACAAAAACCTAATCCTTTACGGCATTTTGCGAATCTTTTTCTAAAATCTGGAGCCCCGAAATGTACCTACAGTTTTGACTGACTGAGAGGTTGACAAACACACAAATATGTATACGGTAAGACATCATACAGTAGAACCTTGATAACTTAAACCTCGATAACATAATAACCTCTATAAATTCATAAAATTTTGTGTTCCCTTCCCCTAGGAGTCCAAAACCTTTATTACTTAAAATAGAAACTCTCTATAACTTAAATTAATAATTTGGGCATCGCACCTCAGTAAGCAGTGAAAAGTGGTTTGAATCGGGAGAAAGTCTTCTATGTAAAAGGCGAAGAATTGCTGAATTTCCTTATTTAGAAAAATGCTTGTTTACATGGTTTAGACAGAGTAGAAATATGTAAAAACATTAGTGTTAGTGGACCTATACTAAAAGAAAAAGCTGAAGAGTTTGCTAAGTCACTGGAGATCTATAATTTTAAAGCTTAAACATAAACCCTTAGTATGTAAAAACCTCAATAACTACTCAAATTATTGTACCTTTCCCTTGGTCTTTATCTTATCGAGGTTCTACTGTACGTACATATACAGATAAAAAAAAACCAAACTGCTACTTTAATACACTCTCTCCTTTAAAAAATTCAGGAGATGTTATCTAATTTTGATTGTGTTGTGTTGATTATAAACTCCTTGAAAGTGCGAATTTGATTCCACCATGAAGGGTTTTATATCTTATCAAATTCTTTGCTAAATGGTAAAACGATTACAAATATTTCTACTCTACTTACATAAGTACTTATTAACCCACTTCAATAAAATAAACAATGCAACTTTTTTATCCATAATCTTTGAAGATAACTAGGAATTTTTTATAAAAACTACAACAATCTCACACATTTTGTCTTTCCAGAATTTTTTAAGAAACATTCCATTTGCAAAATTATTTTTGATTAGATTTTATCGGCATTAATATTCCTACATAAGTATCTATAACAGACGTACGAATTTGTTGTTTCCTTTATCCATTTTGTTTTTACAAATTTAAATTGTTTTATACTTACACAATGTGTATTTTAATCAACTCAATGACGCACTTGACAAACTATTAAAAAGATTAACGGTATGCCAAATTTATTATTTTTATCATGCGAATTCCATATTTATATTCAATAATAATTGTGTGTGATTTTCTATCAGCTACAACAAATGTCAATAAAAATTGTGTCCTTAGCGCTTCCTGACAAAGTAGCTTCAAAATTAATAGCATGTGAACATTAAGAATAATGCAATACATTCAGCGTTCGCAAAAATATTCTTTGTTATTACAGTTATCAAACAATTGGAAAAAAATAAAGAAAAACTTCTTGTTTGTAAATATAATATTTATATCAATAACTACAGTTTTGGCCGATTTTATTAATACCTAAATTTGCTCACGAAGTACTTAACAAAATTATATACTTAAATAGTTTTCTACTTTTACTTTCTTAGAAAAATGTTTGCCTTTTAAACGATTTCTGCAATTACTATACTTTTACTTCAGAAACCGTTTTATAATTAATAAAAGTAGCTTGCTATAAACACGTTATTGAATTATATAATGTTACCCATAATAATTAAAACAACTACACATGATAAACTATAAAATGATGCTAATTACCTACACATAAGAACCAGGTCAAATGAATATTGTAGTATACGTAAGTGTCAGAACTGCTTTGTGTTATAACAAATTGATCTTGAAGATTTTCGACAGTTTATTATTGAAATTAGTCCTTTAATAAAGTACCTTTATAAAATATCCTTTTAATTTATTCTATTTCAAAAGATTGTCAATTCCACTCAAAAAAAAATAATAAATTTCACCATGTCACTAATAAATAATGTTCTTGTAAAACATATTCTAAATAGCTTTTGTGAAACATTATAAAATTTATTTTATCTACTCTCATTTCGATCTAAAAATTTAGTCCGCTTGCTCTTTAAAAATTTGTTTAGATTTAAAACGAAAAGCTCTTATTAGAATGTACAAGGTGAAGAAGTAGGTGAAATAGTGAAATTGATAAAAAATAAATACGTAAACATAAATTAAGAAGAAAAAAATGCATAAAATCGGCTCGGAATATAACCCAGGGCCGCCCGTGTAGCAGTTAAATAATTTAAATAGACTGACGTATAAAAATCGACTTCAATATTCATACAGGAATTACATTAAACCCCAACCATTTAATTTGCTATGTAAATACCTAGTGCTATAGTATTTTTAAGTTTAAAAAAGCGCTCTAGATATTGAGTGGTGTTTTAGAAAATACTACAAATGGCGCAGTAAACGCCATCTATAGCACGATGCTACATTTTAGGATTACGTATGCTACAGATGGCGTTTACTGCGCCACTTGTAGTATTTTCTAAAACGCGCTGTTAAGACAGCAGGTAAAAGTTGGTCTGTGTTCTGTCGGAGCTGCCTGCGACGCGCTGATGAGATCCAGAAAAGATCGAAATCGCGATCCTCGTCTGGCAGTTTCCACAGAATACAGACCACTTCGAGTGGTGTGCTTTCTCAAGATCATTTTTAAAACACCCTTAATAATACACTTAAATTCATACAGGAGATGCCTGCTGTTTTCCTTACAGCTTGGGCAAAGTACAAGTAAGATTAAATGAGTCCTTGCCGGGTGTCCACGTTGTTTCACTTCGGATCGGAAGTTCAGTTATAGATGACCTTGAAAACAGCTACTTCATGCATCCCAACAAACAAATTGAAGAAGCATGTTCAATAATCCAATCCGATCCGAAACTCGCGAAAGGCTATAACGCTATCGGGTTTTCGCAAGGCAGTCAATTCTTGTGAGTATAACATTTTCTGGTTTTCCTGTTAATACAAATGATTTTAGAGACAATTTCACTGGTTTATTTTTTGAGCATTTATTTAACTTATCATAAACAACATTTTAGACGAGGTTTAATCCAACGGTGTCCCTATCCCAAAGCTAAAACCTACATATCTCTTGGTGGCCAGCACCAAGGAGTCTATGGCCTACCAAGATGTATATCGCTTTCCATTAAAACTTGTGATTACATCAGGAGGCTTCTGAATTACGCTGCTTATAACAGGTCAGTAAAATAACAGATGTTGAAGGTTCAGTCTAAATATAGAACTATTGAAATCGAATAAGCAGTTTCGGGGATTACCTGATGCTACATTCAAACCTGCAAACTTAAAGACTTTATCTCTATATTTCAGTGTAGATTTTACAACATTCCTATTTATTGTTGTTTCAGCTGGCTACAGGATTTCCTGGTGCAAGCAACATACTGGCATGATCCTTTGAATGAAGAAGAGTACCGAGAAAAAAATTCATTCCTTTCAGATATTAATAACGAGAAAAGTCTAAATCAGACATACATTGAAAGATTAAGGAATTTGGAAAATTTTGTGATGGTTAAATTTTTAAAAGACACTATGGTACAACCAATCGAATCGGAATGGTTCGGATTTTATAAGCCTGGACAATCAAAGGATATACAAAGTCTTTTTAACTCCACGTTATACACAGAAGTATGACAAAATTATCTTTCCTTTTATTTATAGGGTTGTTCGGAAAGTCATTTCGTTTTTTTGTTGTGGAAATGAAAGACAGTTTTCGTATAATAAACAAATACTTTATTAAATTATATATTGACCGTTCTGGTCCAACACCTTTTGCCATCTTTCTGGTAGTAGCATAATTCCACGCTCATAAAATTTTTGGTCTTTGCTGGCAAAAAACTGATCGAGGAGGTTTTTGACCTCCACATTTGAGGTGAAGGTTTTACCGTCTAAAAAATTTTGGAGTGACCGGAACAAACAATAATCCGATGGTGCCAGGTTTAGAGAATATGGTGGGTGTAGCATTGTATCCCATTCAAGCTGTAAAAGCTTTTGGCGAGTGACCAAACTTGTGTGAAGTCTCGCGTTGTCATGGTGAAACACTACACCTTTCCTGTTGATTAGTTCTGACCTTTTTTGTTGAAGTGTATCATTCAGTTTGTCCAGCTGATGACAGTAGACCGAATTAATCGTTGTGTT